TATAGTACTTTCAATTGATTCATGTTTCTATCCGTGGCCTATAATATGGCCTGAATTGCCACCAGATCCTTATCCCTCATGTAGTGACCAGGCTTCATCCTGATTTGCAATAGCAGCCTCAAGTAATTCCACCACTCAATGTTTCACATCTTACTAATTTCTCAATGGTTTTTGCTCTATTAAAAGTACTTAATATATTATTTTCTTTTTACAAAAAAATACATGGGAGAACATGACTTCGACCAGGAAGCACTTCTTTAATTCTTGACTTCAGCTTTCAGGTGATGCAGAATGAGCATTTGCTTTGGCTGTGGTTCATCAACTTCCATTCACTTGATTCTGTGGTCTGTGAAAATTAATTAAACAAACTAATTCAAAGAGCTTATCAATGCTACTGTGATGATTTTAATGATCAATATGTATTTAAATTGTTTCTTTCTAATCAAAGGTTGTTTTCCAAAAAAAAAAAGAAAAGAAAAATAAGTAGTATCAGTATAATACAATATTAAATGCAGGTGGTGATGTTTAATTGGACATCAAAGTGTTGATAAATATTATTTGCTTAAGTCAATTTTGATACCTATTAATTAATATATTTTTGTTATGTTGTGTCTAAGGATTCCTGTGTTGATAAAGCAGACTGTACTATTAATATAATAATTTGTTATATTCTTTTATTAAAATCAAATTAAGCCTGAATTACTTAGTCTAATCACAGTCACTGAAGGGCACATCCCCCACCCCAAAAAACTGAATTGATTCAATTTGTGTAGTAATTGTTACTTCTTGGTAGACAGTAGTAAATAGTTGCTATATAATTGTAGATGGCTATTCTTGATTTGTCTTCATGGTCAGTTGTTTATGCTGGGTCGATTCATTGCCAACATTATTGTCTCAATATGCTTATTACAATATAACATCAGTCTCTTATACACATCTAGATGTGTATAAGAGACAGCATATAGTACCCCAGTTTGAGGAAAAGGCAGGGCTTCCTGTCTGTGTGTGTGGTGTGATAGAGAGACGCTTAGTGCTTCTCAATTAAGTAAAACATACCATACCATTTTTAACGTTATATGTAACCACACACATACCTTTAAACAGATTTGGTGCAATTTTGACTACTACTACTTGCACCACCATCCCTGAGATCCCCTTCTATGTAGGCTATTCATCAGCTTTGACGGAAACTTAATAGGCCTACTGAGGACTCTTATTTGTTGTTTTCCACAGAGTTGCACATCCTTTACGCTTAATGACACAACCATACTCTAGGTTCTTACAACATGTATCATAAGAATATGCCTGAAACCGGCTCAGATTTATCATGAAGAACTTCTGTCCAACGTGTGTTGTTTACTATTTACATTGGACAAATGGCATAGAAGGTAGTTTGTGATTGGCTGAGGGCCTTGCAGCTAAGCCAAACTTCATTGTTAGTCGTCTTCTGATTGGCTTTAGTTACGTAGCAACTTCTGATATAAATTCTCATTTTTGGTTACAGTTTCCCCAAATTCAAGATTGCCGACAATCAAATTATGTTACAAATTAATAGTATTGACATTTTTGTGCAAAAGCCAGGTAGCCCGGATTGGTAGGTCACAGAATTGAACATTGAAGCGCGGCGCAATATTTTATTCTTTTTATTTTTATTACAAACCCCCACCCACCCACACTGTCTCCATGGATTATTATGCAAAAAAGAAGACACAAAAGAAAAAGAAGAGATTTTAAAAATAATAATAAATTATAAACAAGAAAAGGACGGAAAGAAAAAAAAGTAAAATAGTGGAAAGAAAATGATAATGAAAAAACTAACAGAAAGGTAAGTTATCAAAAATTAAATAAGAAAACAGGATGAAACAATATTAAAAAGAAAATAGATATTAAAAGGATAGTAAAGGAAAAAGGTACAAGGTAAAAAATTCAACCTGGAAGGAAAGTGGAAGTATTTCAAGGAAAGTTTCAATTATAGATAAGAAATATAGACACAATATAGAAAAGAAAAACATGAGCAGTAATAATGTGCTAGCTAAACTGTCTAGTCAATGGACTGCCAAAATCTGCAGTTACAAAGTGGATTGATATATTGATTATAAAATTATTAATTATTATTATTGAAACATAATTATATTTTCTTTACACTTCCTTTAAACTTTTCAGTATTTTTCTTCATTTGTGGAGGAAATTCAAGAAAATAGGTCCGCTGAATCGCATTAACACTGCGAATGCCTATGCATTGGTTACAAGTAGCCTATATTGGAATAGACACTGGCCGACTTTACTGCAACATTTGCGCGGAAATGGGCAGTATTTTTAATACGTGGATGGAATTTTGTCTTTATGAGATAACTCTAAATCAATTTACACATAATAATTTAAACCTATACAGAGTTCCAGAGTTTTCACCAACATTTTTTGAGTGCTGAGATTCCAACTTCCCACTTGTCAAAGGCCATTTAGGCTTTGTTTTAAATCGAAAAATAATTGGCATCACACAGCCGGCCGGCGACACTTCTTAGGTTATAATGCCTAGAACATTAAATTAATTACTCACTACCCTCAGATTGTACACATTTTAAAGAAACAAAATACTTTATTATTGCTATTATCAGAGAACTACTGTCATTATCATCATGATTCGGGTGCTGTGCAGGCAACCACTAGTGTTTTGCATTCCTGTCTGTTTGCAGTATGGTCCTCTGACCCGTTTCTGGTGTTAATAGTTCAGTTGGGAGTATTTCTTGAAAATATGACAGATAATTTGTACGTTGTCTTCCTTTTCTGCATATACCATGGGGAGCCACATACAGGACGTAAATGCATACATGTTTGTTGTCCCCCATTCGTAGAATGTGGCCTAAAAAATTTAGTTGTCTTTCCCTGAAATCCAGTATTAGGGGATGCTGATTCACTTCTGTATAGATGTCGGAATTTGAAATTCTGTCAAGGCATGCCTTTTGATTAAAAAGGGGATTTCCCAGGTATAAGCCCACTTCTCTTCCTCCCTAATAGTCTGGTCATTTTACTGATGTAAAAAAAAATTATTAACAAAGCTTTTTTGGTATCAATCGATGCGCATGGGTATCCTCTTTAATATGCGACATGGAAAGTGGCAGTTCATTCCAATATTGGGGTCCTAGGATAGAAAAAGAACTGCCACCAGCCTTGGTTCTCCTAAATGGAACCTTCAGTCTAAGGGTGTCCATAGCAGACCACTCCTGTCAGGCTGATATTTAATAATCAGATCTTGCAAGTAAACAGGGGCACGCTTGTTAACGCAGTTATACACCTGGATCAAAATCCCATACCTCACCTTGTCTTCCACACGAAGCCAGTTAAGTTTAGAATTAAAGTGGAGGCGCTAGTGCGACTGGGTACTTGAAAAACTAAGCGTGCAGCCCGATTTTGTAACAATTGTAATAACGAATTACAATAATCAATACGGCTAAGGACTGAAGATTGAACAGCATTAATGCATGTACATCTATCGATCGAATTTCTAATACTGTATAAATTTCTCAAGTAAAAGTAAGCAGCCTGTTTAACTTTTCACACTTGTTTGTTCATTTTTAAGTGTTCATCCAAAGAAACGCCGATTTTCTTAACTTTATTTGGGCGTATTACCACTTCATTTATCTGAAGCTTGATGTCGTGAAAGTTGCAATTGAATCTGGGGGGTGAAAAAATTATCATTTCAGTTTTTGAATCATTCAACTTCAATTTATTATTGCGCATCCAAACCTTTAATTTTTTAATACCTCTTCAAGACAAGATAATGCTCTTTTTATATCATCGATAAACTTTAGGTTGCAGTTGACAAAGACCTGTGTATTGTCTGCGTACAAATGAGATTGGTTTCGTGTATGAGCAGAATAGAGTCGGGCTGATTGCCGACCCCTGGGGGACACCACAATGCAATGGAAAACTGACAGATTTAGACCTAAGTACAGATAGCCTAAAATTATGTTTACATAAGTAGGTTTGAAACCAACTAAGGGCTTCACCAATAATGCCATAATTATTTCGAAGTCTATTATTATTAAGTAGGATTCTATGATCAAGCGTGTCAAATGCTGTGCTCAGATCTAACATTACATGAATCACCATTTTAACTTTTCTCTAAATCGCCTAATAAATTTGATTTAATCTTTAATAATGCAGTGCCAGTGCTATGGCATGTTTTATATGCCGATTGGTAAATGTCATGCATGTTGTTTAAAGACACATGTTTTTAAAATTGATGGAGGACTAGGTATTCATTCAATTTACCTAATGTTGGTAGATTGGAAACCGGCCTATGGTTAGCAAGAATATTAGCATCAAGTGATTGTTTCTTAATTATCGGAGAAATCATGGCAGTTCTAAGTTGGGAGGGGAATTTACCAGTCTTCAATTAAGTATTAATTATAGTAACAATTACAGGTGCTAAAACAGAAGCACATTTCTTTAAAAGCCGAGTAGACTAGATTTTTTTGGGGATTTGAGATAAAAGTGCCATGACGTAATCAATAACCTCAAAACTATTAATATAGACCCCTCTGAGTGGTGCTTGGCTCTTCCTGTCCCTGCCCACTTTGCCATAGGGAAAATCGGCCTTTCCATCAGGGACATTGCCCCTTCCCCCTGTCAGGGACATCGGCACCTGTCGGGGACATCGAATCCACAGCCGTGGTGCTGGTATTTGCTCAACGGGGTTTGATGTTCCAAAATAGAGGAGGAAGGAGGTGGGTGCAATGCCACCGCGTTTGGCCGATGTCCCTGGCAGGTGTCAATGTCCCTGACGGGAGAAGGGGGTGATGTCTCCGATGCAAAGGCCGATTTTCGCGTCAATGGTGGTGGGGAGGGGGTGTCCAGGGTTCTTTCTGTCTCCTATGTCTGGAAGCACAATTTGTCAGGGAGAAAAAAAGAGATACGATGCTTAATCCTTGAATTTTATTTAATTTCTGATTTTAACTGATAGCTATGCCTTGTGTTTTCCCACAGCATTGTTGTTTTCCATTACTTTGTCTTTTAATTTGTATATAAATACGGCTCCTCCCTGAGCCACTCATCATTTTTCAAAAGCAAAGTATGCTGTACTTATGTACGACAATGGCGGCAAACTGAGTTTAGGCAAACTGAGTTTCAGCAATCCAGGTTGTCATGATTAAGTTTACTGGAATCGGCAAAATGGGTTTCAGCAAAGTAGCCATGGACTAAATTAGGTTTCGGTAAACTGGGTTTCGACAAACTTGTCGGCTGACATTTGGGTTTTTCAAGCTGTTTTCATACGTCTTAAAGTTCTTGTCTACAGAGTTTTGGGCAGCCCCTGGCCATGCCTGTTTCCAGCAGGAAGATAGGCCTTCTCAAGAACAATACCCCACCCATATCGGGGATACCGGGACCCCAGCCACCTAGGGAAAGGAGATAGGTTTTGCCGGACAAGGGGTCAATATCTCTGATGGAAACTCTAATCTACTTGTCGGAAGCCCAGGTTGGGCTGGGCCAGTGGTAGCCAAGAATCCCATTGGCAGATCCGGGAATTTGAAATAGAAGAAATTCAAGGTGGGACTTTCACAGATGAAGAGTCTAGACCACCCCACCCCCACTATGATTGATGGGGCTGGATGATCACGGTACCTCTAGATGGCCGGAAATAGCACTCTCAGACTTGTGGATTTTGTACACGTTGCATAATCTATGTTGGGTGGGGAGGGGGTGGTGGCTGGCTGGGCCTCCTTGAATCTGCCACTAAACCCTTCAGAGGTAGGGCGAAACTGCTGAAAGTCCGACTTTTTAGAGATATAACAGGCTTATTGATTCCAGAGCTACATTTTCTGTAAAACTTAGGTTTTCTTCTTCCCGACAGGGGGTAGGGGAAACTACTGTCCCCTGGCCCACATTTAGCGCCAGGCCTTTGCAAATCCTCCTTTTGAGCAAACCACTCTGAATAACCAAACCAAACCAACTTGCATTAAATACTATCAAAACGATGACATTTACCATTTACATGCTGGACTTCATTCATTTGCACTCCACTGATCATTGTATCCCTTCCTCTGAACCCCATCATTTGGTGTATATGTTTCTCCTGGCTCTCCTAGATACCTTATATGGATTCCTGGCTACAAGCCTTCAAACATTTTTCTCAAAATATGCAGGTCTATGCTCAAAGTATTATCTTATCTGTGAAAAATCATTGAAGTTTAACTGCAAATAGGGGCCTTCAGTAAAACGGCTATAACTTTTTTTCCCAAGGAGGATTGAAGAGGAGTTTTAACATGTTACAGAGGACATCCGTGTACACCGATTGATACCAAAAAAGTTTTAACAATTTTTCTCGGTAGCCCATGATTTTGACCTAAATCGACCAGACTATAAATCAGTCCTATTTTGTGTTTAAAATGTTGGGCTTTTACCAGAGAGATTAAGGTATATTATTTTCTAGGTGGTTACAATTTGAACATTTTATTGCAGGTTGTTACCATGAATAATTACTTCTCTGTTGGCTGTGATGCGCTTCTTGCTTTGAATTTTCATCGTCAGCGTGAGAGTAAGCCTCATTGGTTTACAAATCGCGTCATTAACAAGGCCTGGTATTTGGTCTTTGGTGCTAAGGATGTTTTAGAACAAGGCTGCAAAAACCTCCAGAGGAAGATTGAGGTCAGAATTGAATAACATTTTATTTATTTTCCATCAAACAGTGACTGGTCACTTATTGTGCGTTATAAAGTTTACTTTATAAATCCAGTCTTAATGTGACGCTTAAGCTGAGTTTACATTGAACTATGAATTTGACATGGACCTAGGAATTTGGATAAGTTTTACCACTGTTCTCACTTAGATTTAAATACATGGTAAATGTTTAGTTTGACAAAATATAGTTTAATCTGATTAAGATATTTCAAGGGTAGAGTTCATGATTCAAGAAACTTTATTCGTCTTTAGTAAAGAAGACAAATCCTGATATTTACATGATTTAAAGTCAGGACCCTGGGATTTGCATGTGAGCAATTGGCTACTAAGTCATAGCTCCACTCCTGCATAGTCTCTTTGTGAGCAGTGGCTGATTCAAAAATTCATACAAAAATTGGTTCCGGAAATATGATTAGATAAGAAATCTTTATTGTGCAAGAAAGGGAAAAAATAAATTGCTCATCAAATCCATATACAATATGAAATAAAAATATCTCATATCTCAAAGGTAAAGTTGAAAGCAATTTTCTTTTTGCAACATTTTTCCTTTGAATCTGCCTGTGATAGTCCTTAATGGAAGTCATTTCTTAAACACAAGGACAATCCTGTTGTTTCACAAAATTTGAATTCTGTTTCTTGGTTAATAGTTGGAATTGGATGGACAGAAGGTCGATCTACCTGACCTAGAGGGCATTGTGGTGTTGAACATCAGCAGCTGGGGGGCTGGGGTAGAGCTGTGGAAAGGCACAGGCCAACAAAAGTATTCTCCATCCAGGTATGTACAGTATGTTTATTCCCTAAGTTTATTCCCATGCTTTTATCAGCTGAGAGGCAAGTTTGGTCTTCTGTAGTAATTTTGAGCAATATGTAGTCCTTACCACCAGAACCAAGCAAATGTGCCACTCAAACCAGTGCAGATATTATGGCTGAGCTGTGCCCCTTCCTTAACAGTGAGGTCATTCCACTGAATCTTATCTTTGTTCTTATGGTTTTTGTTTCAGTCACAGTGATAATGTTGTTGAAATTGCTGGCTTTTATTCATCATTTCACATGGCCAGAATCCAAGGTGGTCTTGCTGATCCAGTCCGACTCGGACAAGCTAAGACAGTCAAGGTAAAGTACATGGGAAAATCCAAGTGGTAAGAGAGCCAGGTGGCAAAGGGCCTAAACCTGTGCTCCTGTATTATAAAATTTCAGTGTGAAGCGCATATAGGCATTGTGTAATAAAAAATGATTATTATGATACCAAGGCCCATCTTTTTTCTGTATAATACAAATGTATATGACAATATAACATTCGTATAATACTTCTATAGCACATAATACAAGGTCTGTATGTGCTGTAGATAAAACAAAAATATCAAAATATTGTAACATTATAACATATAAAATATTATATTAGTATATATTGTAACATTTTAATTCTGTAGGATTTATTTAATTCATTTGGGGAAAGGGATGTACCATACTCGCGTGAATAAGCGCCTGGGTGCTTAACAATTTTTTTGCAATTTTTGAGGGGTGGTTATTTAAATGGGCGCTTATGAAAACAGAGTGGAAATTTAGGGGGCGCTTTTTGAATAAAAAAAGAGCATTTATAGTACCCATGAATGAAGCCCAGTAATGATTTGTAGTCCAATACAATCTATGAAGGAATGGTAAATATAAAACAACCAAAGTATTATCACTCTTTACGAGTTTGTTTTAATGACAATGACAACCGGTAAATTACCTATACTTTAAACTGTATGTGTTAAAATGTCCAATCAGATAAACATAGTGGAGTATAGTGGTGTACATTATTTAAAAGCCACTTACAGTACCATGGTTTAATCAATGTCAATTTCCTCATAGTCATCTTGTCAGGATCAAGATTTAGCTCCTCCTCATCATCTGAAATATTTTCAAATTCCATTGGCCTCGCCTTCCACTAGCTCGAGATGTCTTTTGAGCAACGCTTGTTCATCACAACACGGTTGGTCTTCCTTGAAGCAGTTGATCAAATGGTCCTCTGACCTGTCAACTGCGAGATTCAGCCCACAAATCTTTAATGAATTCTTAATTACTTCCGCTGAAACGAGTGCTCATCCTTCAATTATCCAGTTTAAGACAACTTCCCTAGAAGGTTGTTTCGAGTTTCCTCCTTGTGTCTGATTATGTAGACCAATACCTTCAACTTCAAGCTATTTCTCGTAACTTTCTGAACAATGTTGCTTGATTGGCCTATTCCATGACACGTCTGGGGCCTGAATGTACTTAATGCATCCATTAGGGACAATCTCAGTGTCCACTCGCTTCGATTATAGTCCAGTTCTCCAAGTGACATTCAAATGAGTCCCAACTCAAGAGACCCTACTACTGTATCTGTTCATCTGTTTGTCAACTCTGTATTCATCCATCCATTTATGTTTGTTTCAATGACGGCCTTGTGTTTGTATTTTTCATCAAGATATTTGACATCACAGTTTATAGAGAAATCTCTCTGGATCCTTTTGAGACATAGATGTTTTCCGCCTCAGTGACAGACGGTTTTGCCGCAAAAAGTTGGTAACCCATCCGTCTGACGCCTCGAATGCAAACTGTGGACCGACCACATCATCTTCCAGTTCACCGTCTTTTCGCATGTTGGCATAGGTTAATTTCAACTTTCTCTTTATTAACTTTCGAGATACACGAAGTCCCTTTTATCGCTTACAAAGGATCAAGTGGAGAAGAACATGCTCTAACTCAACACTCATTGGGTTCCTACCACCACCGGATTATCGCTTACGCTTCTTTCCTGATGCCGCCTCACTTATCTCAGCATACTTTTTCCTCCATTCTCTTATTCTCTTCCTGTCAATGTCATATTGACTATAAACAGCAGCTATGCTAGTCTTGGTAGAATACTCAACGACAGACTTCTTAAATTCCATTGTGTAAGATCTGAGAGTTTTTCCCTTGTGGGAAGAAGCGTTATGTAGTGCTGACATCTTGTCAATGACAAAACAAGATTGCAAAAAAAAAATAGCCAGTTGTTTTGAAGGAAGTTATTCTCTTGACACATACGCGCTATAAGTTATTACAGTATATAAGGCCCCTGGATAAAATTCATTCAATCCACTGAGCCTAGGCCTAGCCTATATTTTATTGTACATTTTTCATTAAGTATAAAAATACCTCGGACAACCTTCAATTTCAGTTTTAAATTATTGTATGAGAACAAGGTTTTAACCAACATTAGAGGATACCACGTATATAAGGACATATGGAAACTGAAGATAAATGAATGTTTCTGGTGCAAAAAAGACAATGACCCAGAGAGCATGGCTAATGACAAGAATGCAGTGGGCATTTACACAATGCCAGATAAAATTAGTGGTGGTACTAAGCTTATTGGCCATCTGCTGATTGAAATTAGCAGAATCATTGGAGGGTTTCTTGCAAACTCAGATGAGAACGTGCTAAAAGGTGGAAATTGTTGGGAAAAGAAAAGTTAGACTAGTCATTCCCGGCCGATTTTTTTGCCAAATGTAAGAAGAGAAAAGTTGTAAAGATACTGTCCAGAGACTTTCATCTGTGGAGGAGAAATATCCTCAATTTGAACTGGACATAAGAAGAAAAAGTGAATACACTCCGCTGCTCAAATCATGCCAACAACATTCCCAGGATTGCATGGATTATTGCCTTGCTAATAAAACTTTACATGATATTGCTTTAAAAAATGAATAAAAATATTCAAGATTTTTACATGCAAAAGTGTTGAGGTCAGTTTATCTTGTTGAATAAAAAAAAAACCAACTCTGTATGGCCATACAATATTTTGATTTTTGGATTTTAAATGTTGTTCTAAATTCAAGATGATGTACAGGGCAGCAATAAAACAAGAACAGGATTCTAATGATGCATCAAAACTGAACACTATCTTAAATTTAATGGAGACTGACCGACCGACAGATAGATGGACGGACAAACCAACCAACAGTGCTGAGATGGGAATTGTTGATGAAAGTTAAGTCAGGGATGTACTGTACTGTATGATTGATTTTCTTAAAAAATCGGGAACACTTATTCAAATGAGAGGGGGCGCTTAAGACAATTTTAACATTAGGAGGGTGCCTATTCAAGAGGGGCGCTTATTCAAACGGGGCGCTTATTCGCGCAGGTACGGCATAGGTTTCCCAAGGCCAAAGGTTAAATAAAAAATTCACTTCAGTCCTCTGACCCATTTTTAGGCCCACCTCTGTCTTAAGCCTAAAGACCTGTCGTACCTCTACCTAACAGAGTAAAGGGTAGGGACATCCTACTCCCCTGTGGCCTATTTCTCACATATTCACAAATCTGAGGAAGACAAAATGATTGCAAGAATTTCAGTATGGCTTCCTCTAACAATTTAATGTATTATGAGCAAATCTTTCCTCATTAGTGGGTGAGTATCACTTTCTGTACTTCTAATACTGCCTACTAGTTTGTTTATGCTGTTTTTAATTTTAATTTTTGTAGCTTACTATCAAGAAATTTCCAGTTCCTGTTCAAGTTGATGGTGAACCGTGGAAACAAGGAGCGTCTACGGTCACCATAAACCACTGCAACCAAGCGCTCATGCTGAAAAGAAGCGATTTTAGCGTGTAGTAAGTGTCTTGTAAGAATACAAAATACAGAATCATTAACAAAGAAAAAAAAAACAGTAATACCCGTACCCGAGTCACACAAGACAAAATGTTATGCAAGATGCCTGCTGGGGAATATTTAAAAAAGTGTTCCTTGCTATGTCATGTGAAAGTTCATCGTTGTAAGATAGCACACAAATAATGTAATATCCACGAAACAAGCAAGACATTTACAGAGGACACTCACACTCAGTTGTGCACATGCTTATAGGACTTTCGCTGTGGCGTTGTGCATATCTTCACAGTCAGCATATTAAATTATACTGACTTAACATGGTAAACTATTTCATGAAGATCTTTTTTAATAGACTAGCAATGAAATACTAAAACAGTAACAGAAAACAACCTTGAAAATGAGGAAAAAGGAACGCAGATCAAACCAAACACCACTGCACCGTTCCCAAGCAATTTAAGGTGCAAGGCCCGCAAAGGCAGTACACACAGGTGCTCAAGTGATGCTGGCATTTAGACATAGATTATACCCAGTCACAGGGAAACAATAAGCTATTATGATGTGCACAATGAAATAACAGTCCCTCCAAAAACGTTGAAATATGAATGGAAGACATGATTTCGGTAGGACTATCTTGGAAAGCATGTAATGTTCAGTAAGCATCCTGTGTAACATTTTGTCTTGTCAAACAGCCATACATCAAACAGCAGCAGGGTAATCATTCTTATTTTTATGATTATTTGATACAAATTTTAATAATATTAATAGCATAAATTTTGGCATTTTCAGTACTTGCTATTTTTTCACAAAATCATGTTTAGTTAAGTTTTAATCTCAAAGTGGTATGAGCAACATAATTGAACCAATGACCTCGCATGGAGAGTGCAATCAATGATAAGTGTGAAAAAATCTCCAAATTCGATGCATTCAATGTTAGAGTGAAGGATCTTAAATGGATGGTATAGTTTTTAGCTACTTCCAATGGTAGCATAGACTATACGATTGTTTGCTGTTGCAAAAGAAACTGTGAATCATATTTTTTTTTATGACATATTTTATATTTTATTATTTACTATTAAATATAAAAAAATTGATCTATAATAACTCATAATTTGTCTCAAAAGTATATTTTGCATGGGAACTTTTCTACATTTTTAAATAATTATATAATTTTCTATTTCTATTGTTTTCTGATTTTTTTTGTTTATATAAATATATCTGTTGTTAATTTTTGTTACTTGTTAGTAATTATGATTATGATGAAATGATGTTTATATTGAGTGTGTGGTGATTAGCATTAGGATGACTATGCTTTATTTAATGATAATTAGGGTGTTTTAAATTGTTACCATCTTCATAAGGCCAAGAAAAAAATACCCAGTTTCTTGTCCAAGTCTTTTTTGCTGTAACCTCAATTTTTGTGTATAAAAAGTGACTTAGATACCAATTTACCTCCGTTTTTTATACAAAAAATATGCTTTGGAGAGAGTAGCACACAGAATGCAGATTAGCAACATTGGGGGTTGTTGCCTACTGCATTGTAGTGGAACATCTAGGTATATAGATGCAAATGGATTTGTGCACAGGAATAGCATGCATCCCTTACTTTTACCTGTGTAGATCAGATTTCATTACAATGTTGACAGCGTCACCACCTCATTTCGAATAGATGATGACCTCCTTCCCTTTTAAAAAGTTTTGATGAAACTAATTTTTTTTTAATATGCCCGTCCATAATAATTATTTTTATGATGTTGTGTTTTATATCTTCTTTTTCGTCATCATCATCATAATCAGATAAAAATAATTAAATTGTTATTTGAATACATTATTTTGCTACAACTCTTTTTGATAAAGATTTCCATTTTTATATTTAACATGTAACACCTTGCAATATGAGATTTGAAAAAAATGTACACAAATTAATATTGATGTTACTCTCGTAAAAGTATTTTTTTCCCCCTCTAGGGTCCTCCTTTTGTTTTGCACTGTTGAAGCTTGTCAACTACTGTGGTAGTCAATGACAACCACTTGTTCTGTCGATTCAGAACGGTTAAGAACTTTATTATTATTTATTATACATATTTTTTCCCAAATTTTACTAAAATTATTTTTTTTTTAATAGAAATTTAGATTCTTCTTCCTAAACTAACCATTCCATTTAGCAGTAATTTTCTTAGTTTTTTTTATTGGTATTTTTCTTGAGAATGTATTTGTTACAAGTAAATTTATGAAATTCATATTCTGCATAATTATAAAAAATGCTTCCTCATTCCACAAAGAAAACATTAATTGGTAGATTTTTGTTTATGAAATTTTATGTAATTAATTATATTGCATAAAAGGAAATTTTGTTCATGTTTTTTTTTAAATTCTGGAATAATTGTTCATGTATTTATAAATATTATTTCAATTTATCTGGACAAAATGATTGTTTTTACATCTCAGGAAAGTAAAGGTTGTTCATATGCCAGATTGCCATATATGGCTATGAGTTGCTATGTATGAAAAATTCCCATATATGTAGATAACTTGTATTATATTATGTGTTGTAGATTGTCATTGTGAGGTACATTTTTTATGTTGGTAAATTCTACAATAGTGTGTTTTATTGACATAAATTGGTGTATATATTTAAGACATGGAATATGGAACACCGGTAAAGCTTCAGACTTCAAATTGAAAGGTTTGGGTTTGAATCTGAAACCCACCAACTATTGTACCTTTAGACTAAACACTTTATCCATTTTTTTCCTTTCCACAATTGAGTTTGTAAATGAATGGTACCTGGTAGGACGCATTATGATAGCTAAGTGGATATTCCATATGTTTAGTTTAAGAAGGGCAATAATGTGAAGCAAATAGGAGCACTATATTAGACTGAAATATTGTTATTATTGTTGTAATTGTTTTTATTCTTATTGATATTATTATTGTTGTAATGTTATGCTTGTCATGCTAACATGTTGAGGGCGTGGTCATTTTTACAAGAATCTTCTGTGATAGAAACAATCAAAATGTTTTATATTTTGGTAATCTAATGCTGTTATTATAAATGATGCATAACTATTAAATACTGTTAACATTACAAACAGTGGAAATTTATAATTAATGTTGGTGCTGCCCAAACTTTTATATTACATATTGAAAGATGCAAGAATGTTAAAACATCTAAAATATTAATGGTATGCACTATTATTACCATTATTTTTATTCTTGTTTTTGTTGGTTTATTTTTGTGTGTGTACAGTATTTTGTTTTTTATATAATAGCAAACTGAGTCACTGCTTATTGGATCTAAACTAATGCTTTGAAAAATCTTGCAGAGCTACAATGCCTTACTCTGTGCCTAGGTAGTGATATTTATGTACAGTAGTGCAAAATGTCCTGGCATCCTATAGGATTTGAACCCAGTACCCTGGATTGGTAGGCAAGCACCTTGCTGATCTACACCTCCACTCTAATATATTAAATAATATTATAAATATTATAATTATTACTGTTACAAAATATTTGTTATTATTTCATTACTATTAAATAATTATCTTTATTCTGCAATATTTTCATCATAATATGTATTTTATGTTAATTTTTCAATTAATTTTATTTAGTGTTGATTTATGGTTAAAATGTTTATTATACTGTATTGAGCATTATAATAGACATATAGTGTGCTCAGCTCTATAAAATTGCCTTTATTGTATTGCACACAGGAGGTATATGGAACACGTACATGACTACCCATGTAATTGTACATAAAACACAATATATATGAATATTATGTAATTATGTAACATTATATATGTGTATGTGTATATATATATATATATATAAAATGATTCAGTATGTTGCTATATAAATATATTATGAATATATGGATATTATGTAATTATGCAACATGATATATATTATATAATGTAACAACATATATTGATTTAATATTTTACTATATATATATATTATATATTGATTTAATATTTTACTATATATAATTATATATATATGTATATATATTTTACTATATATAATTATATATATATGTATATATATACTGTCTCTTATACACATCTAGATGTGTATAAGAGACAGAAATCATGTTTAGTTAAGTACGGGATTTGAACCTGAGACCTCTTGCTTTCAATGTGAACGTCATAACCATTAGAACAGATTCAAATAACATCAGATACACACTATTACACAATTGGTATGGCTGGAAACTAATAATAGCATATAAAATAAATCAAAGCCCCTTTCAGACAGAGCTGCAATACCACAATATTGCGGTAAGCATGCCGGCTTGGGTTTCTGTCTGAAAGGGTTGATACGTCAATATGCCGGCTTACTTAGGCCACTTTGCATATTGGTAATATTGCCGCAATGTTGCGGTAACGGCTACTGGCTTGCTCTGTCTGAAAGGGTCTACTCGATATTGCGGCAATCAAGCCGGCGTGTGCATTTATGCGTAAACAAACAAGGTTAAAGTTGAAAACAATTGCACGGTGGTATTTAAAAGCCAAAATTTCACCATTCTATGGACACTTTCAGACAGAAAAGCATAAGATTACTGCAATATTGCGGTAACAAATGCTCTGTGTAAAAGAGTATAGACCGGTTATTATGCCGGCATGCTTACCGCAATATTGCTGCAACGTCTATATGAAAGGGCTCAAGATAGCCGTTAACACTATTAAATTACAAGTAAATCATCAAAGAAAGGTAAATACAGTGTTCGAATAAAGGACATGATAATACATTGTGTAGCATAGCTCTCAAAAAATGTTGTCCTATAAATAAATAAATAAATTGAGTAATAAAATACCTCTTACAGGATTCGAACCTGTGACTTCTCGCTGGGATAAGGCGTCATAACCATTAAACCCCAGAGGCTTTATGGTTGAACAGATTCAAATAAAATCAGATGCACTCACAATTACACAATAGGTACGACTGGAAACATATGAAAAATATATAGTATTAAATGCAAAGGTGTTTATCTATACCAAAGTTATCATATATAATGTATATTTGCATAGGCCTATGTCCATTTCACTTGAAATGGCACGCTATCCTTTTCATGATTCAACCAGGAGTATAAGTTGTATTTGGTAGACTTAATGTTCAGTGTTCAATGTGTATGTCTTAGCCGAATATCTAAGATCTTAGCTGTATGTTCAGGGTGCATGAATCCTAGAAAACTGCTGGATATTGACTGAGGAAAATATTTGTGCTGCAATTGTTAAAAATCAACTCATATCACCAAATTTTGCCAGCTAGCTCTCCCTCATTTAATACCCCACTTAATATTTGAGTCCCCATCATCCCCCTCCCTCCCATACCATGACAATACTACTAGATACACCACTGCAGGAAATTTACATGTGATGAGCCTTAGGGTCAGTCCCACTTGGATGACATCATTTTCCATTGGAGACAGTCCCACTTAACATAATTGTATTTATGTTTATCCTAAAATTGACCTTTAATGTAAAAAATCCCCAAACATTTTAAAAATGTCATTCAATGATGGTTAGTAAAATCAATCTCATGTCTGTGAAAGGTATACTATTTTTGAAAGTTTACTAATTAAGTCATTGTAATACTTTACCAGGTTTGGCAAGATAGTGACATGAATGGTTAGGCAAATAATTCTTTATTGACTGGTTCTACCTTGGGCTGTGAGTATTGGAAGAGAAATCTATTTATTCAGTCAGTATTTTATTCAGTCTATGAGGATCCTGTCGGTGTTTAACAGCCAAGCTGTAATGTTTCATCTTATTCATGCACTATGTAATGTTATAATGAGCAAAATAAATGTCATAATACAAAAATGTAATTTAAAATTATACAGTTGTACTGATTTTTATTTACAGTTTATCTATTATAGAGAGTTTTTAGACTATATATATATATATGATAAATGCAACATAGCGTAATATTATCTGTAAAAACACAACCATTATACACAAATATAAATATAAACATAAATATAAAAAAATAATGTTGGAAGAGGAAAGTGAGTGAAAAATTTCGCCCAAGCTAAACCTGAGCCTTGTGTATTATATGGGGGTGCCCATACCATTGGACCACTGGTGTTTCTGTTGGAAATTTCAGTCCTGTTGACGAAATGATTTCAATTTCTGTGGGAGTGTGTTGGACCTGAGGGTTGGACATTGCTAGTCCCAAGTTGCAGATGTCTCTTAGGAATTGGAGGACGCCCTCCTGTAATCCTGGAAGTTATAAGCAAGCAAGAATCTCGTGGAAAATAATCCATCTACAAATTTACGATGTTTTCACTACCTGTATTATTAAGTGCATTATTTGTATCAACGTGCACAGCAATTAAAAAAATTTTTTTTATGGGATTTATGTAGTGCACATATCCAGAAATCTGCTCAAGGCGCCTTTTTTCCTGGTCATTGTATACAGAATCAATCACACACAACGTGCAACCTCCTCCGCTCTCTCCCTGGGGAGTATTCCTAGTTATGTGTGTAATCAGCACATCAGCACAGCACTAGTTACACATGCACAATATTTTAATATTTTACTGTAGATACTTTCATTTTTTTTTAAAATTTATTTATTCAAACATACACTTTCTTTACAGCGGCACTTGTCGGTTAACATCATGTTCAAAACAACAATTATTTCAATTACCTGTAAAATTAACTCAAAAGTATAAAAGAACAGTACACCATTCCTTCTACATTGATTCGAAAGAAACTTTCATCCACAACCTAACTAATATAAATACAGTAACACGATTTCCAATAGGTAATGTAATTAAGTCAAAAGAATTGGAAGAGGAAAGAGAAAAAAAAAATACACAATTCTGAACTTTTAATTAATGATGCTTGCTGCCCTCATTAGTTCAAAAAGCTTTCTGTAACAAAGAGTATAAAACTGAAAGAGGTCCGACTGCCCTTATTTTGTATACAGGCAATGGAACGTTAAAAAGTACTCCCACGAAGGGGCGTGTCCTTCATAAGAATGTAAAACGCGTGCTGCGTTTCGAATTCCAGCATACATCCTATAGACGCACAGCACGCGTTCGATATGAACGCACTTTACGTTCTTTTAAGGGCCACGCCCCTTTTGGGTAGTACTTTTTAAAATAGGATTGCGTTCCAAGGAATCCCCGGCAGTCGGACCTCTTGCAGTTTTATACTCTTTGTCAGCACTGTAAGTGCAAGTGTCTGAACATTGAGGTCAGCATCAGGGTTGCCATTTGGCCTTTTTGATGGCCAGATTCCTTAAATCTGGCGGTATAAAAATTTGCCTGGCCGTAACGTTTGAAAAGTCACGGCCAAACTATATTTGGTTGAATTTGGCCGAAATTTTGAAAACTTTACATTTTTTTTCAATATATGCCTAACGTAGACTTGTTTTGGATAGGCCCTATGTTGTTTTTGTTAGCTTAAATTCTATATTTGAATCTAATCATTTGTTTGTACTTGCACTAAACAGTTAGCCTAATCTATGTTCCCCCTTTAGCCGAATTGACGTAAGAGGGTTTATTTAAAAGATAACAGTTACATTTGATAATTTAAATTGTTCGGATGAAATATATATTTTTTATATGAAGTTTATCCTCGTTTAATCTTTATGAAGACAGTTCAATGCAAGTTTGTACCATATATTGTGTGTCTTTGTATATGTTCCATCGTAGTGGAGGTTCTATCTCCTTTGAATCTCTTTTGAATATAAATTAAATACTGTACTTTAATTAATTTATTATTGCACGCTTAAATTGTATAGGCCTATGTGCTGCAGTGTTCTTTATGTAGAGCGCCAATAATGCTCGATGTGATGTGATCATTCGGGTCCGGTGGCACCTCCAATTTCAAGCAAGCGTTGCAGAGACTTCTTCGAAGTTACTCTGGAGTTCGGTTGTATACTGAGAATGAAGAAGATAATTCTGATCAACATTGATTTATTGCTTTAAAGTACAAATAACATTCAGAGGCGAATTTAGAAAGTTTAGATCAAAAATACTTATTAAAGTTTTCATATATGTTTGTTACCTAACAACAGTTTGTGTTACCTAACTATGTAACTTAATTCATTCCAATTAAAGAGAGCCACGGATTTGCCAATAACAGGCCCTTAAAATTTTTGCTATAAATCGACTACAATGTACCTTGATATTTAATACATTTAAATCAAATTTAAATCAATCTTAATAATGTGATTTTAAATAGCAAAAGCAGAAAGAAAAAAATTGATTGCCCAAACGCATCAGAGGTTATTTTTGGGCGACTAGAAAACAAAAATTTCTTCTAAGATGGTGTTCTCGATCGGCCCCACTTTCGCCCTTCCCCACCCCCGCCTTTTTTTTCGGCTCCGACCCTCTCCATTTCGGACATCTCTGGATTCACCCTGAATTGGCCTACATGCTAGCAACTAAAGAACATAGGCTATTTAATATTATGATGTAGCTGGGCATGTATTTGATGGTGATAGATTAATTAAAAGAAGAAAAACAGTGAAAGTTTTTAAACAGAACAATGTTACAGAACAGAACAATGAAACGTTAAAACATTGTTCTGTGTATATCATTTGAATTTCTTAAATTTCTAATGAATGACCGCTGATTTTCATGTAAATTTCAAATGAATATGTACCCACTGTTGTCTTCTAATCTGATTAAAATCTGGCCGAATTTTGGCCGATATCGAAAAAAGTTTGGCCGAATTTGGCCGTGAGATGGCGTGTGTTTGGCCGTGAAGCCTGTCGACTATCTGGCAACCCTGGTCAGCATTGTTTGAAGGTTAGCGGTTGGGTCTGTGGTATTACTATTACTGAAGGTAATGTTAGGAAATTTAAGCACTTGTTGCCGAATTTAAGTAATTTTAAATTGCTTTATGTTTTGTAAGTTTGCCAGGTTAAACTATAACTTATTAAAATATTTTCATACAAACATACATTTGGCAGCCAATGAAAGTAGACGAATATCCTCCGCCCTCTTGAAAATGGTGGTTCCCAACCTGGGGTCCGGGGACCTCTCGATCAGGGTCCGCGAAAAATAATTGGAGGTTCGCCAAGTCAAAGGTGTCCGCTTTTTAATGATTCATTTGGCATTATTTTTTCTTGTCTTACAATAGTGTGATCATATCTTGACAATAATGAAATACCTTTGATTTGACAGGCATGACTTACTGCACTGTAATTTGTTTGAACTATTGGCGTATGACCCATGACACTAACTTAACTTAGTAATGAAATGTGCACTTTTGATTCAATTAATTTGATTATCTTTACTTTAATTAACTTCACAATGTTTAAAATAGATTTAGAATGCTATTATTCAGGGAGATGTTATTTACAAATCCAATTTTCGATTTCAACCTTTGACATTGCAAGGCCATTTTAACCCTGTTTTGTGCAACTATGTTTATTTGTATTCAATGATATTTACATGTAAATATTTAGAGTAAAAATTTGCATTTTTTCTTAAAAATGCAAATTGGCAGCTGACTCTCTATGAGTTATAGTAAAATTTTGCTTAAGCTGCCCCTGACCATAATTTTTGTTGTACTGTACCTTTTGTAAATGTGTATTGGTCGAATAAATAAATGAAATAAAATGAGAATATCCTGCTAAACTTCCGAAATAAGAGGTTGACCTTTGACCTAATGACACCAAAAGGTCATTTGGCAATTAAATGTGTGATTTTAATTTCTTAAGTTCATGATTTATACTTATTATCATTTATGCAAATGTTTAGAAAATTAATTATGAATGCAGAACTGAGTTTGTAATACTGCATTAACCTCTTATAAATCCAAATTTGACCCTGACCTTTGACACTGCCAGGTCATCTGAACCTTTTTATGTGCAATTAGGATTATTTGTAATAAATATGATATTTACAGTACATTTAAATATTTATAGAAAACACTTGCATTTTTCTTCAAATATCCTGCTTAGCCGCCCAAATAAGAGGTTGACCTTTGACCTAATGTCACCGAGAGGTCATTTGGCAAATTAAATGTGTGATTTGGATTCTTTTGGGTCATGTTTATATTTGTACCTAATACATTTATGCTTAATATGTAATGGTTAAGGAGAAAAGTAGCTGCAAAGTTTTATGGCGGCCATTTTGAATTTATGCAAATTAGGTAATTTAGTATTGGCCGATCAAGGTAGATACTTTATATGCTAATTGTTACAAGCAAAAGAACATATTTCAGCAGTAAAACAAACTTTTGCAATTTGGACTGGGAGACCTATTTCTACTTTTTTACGCTTTTAATTTCTACGCTTTTAGTGCATTTTTTACACTTTGAAATTCTAAGTTTATGTATTGTGATTTTACCCCAAAAAAGCATACTTAATTTTAACTGAGATCACTAATAATGAACATATACAATAATACCATTACCAAACAAAATGAGCCAATTAAAATCAACATGTATTTTTTTTAAACATTTATTTTAACAAAACATAGACTGGCGATAGTGATGATAATTAATAAAAATGCACCAGTCACTCGGCAGAGTTTGGCTTTAAAAAAGCTCCGGGCCCCTGGATTTAGCCAGTGAGAGTTCATAGCCATTAAGCCATTGACTTCCACTCCTCCAGGTAAAATAACGTTTTTAAATTATAGCTTAGCTATATTTTACAGGCTTATGACTATTTTATACAGTATTCTATTTTGTTCAATTATAAAATCAATTACAGTAATCTGGCTACATATTGTATATTTGGCATATTGGTTATTTTCCTGGAGATTAGTCTTTGTATTCTGCCTAGTGGCGGATTCAGTAGGCCTTATTTGAAATAGAGGGGGTTCAGGGAAGGACATTCATGGATGGGGAGTCCAGACCATCTTAGCCCCACCATTGGTTGGGGCTGAAGTAAGAAAATGTATGTTTATGGCATCTCTAGATGGCCGGAAATGGCACTCCAGACCTAAATTTGATTTGATGACGTCATCATGGTCAAAATAAATGTTTTTTCTGACCCCTCTCATTTTTCTTTCCTCAAAACTTTGATGACCCCCATATCAATGCATATTAACCATTCGTCATTTCTAAATCATATTAAGTGGGCATAAACTTAAGGTCAAGATTGAATGTCAACTACCTTAATTTTCCATTTACGTGTCTTAACGTGCGCATACGCATGCATCAAAATTTACATTCTTAAAATCATGCCTATTTTTAATCAGTTATAGCTCCTTAGGATGAAAGTGACCCCAATTTCTATTACATATCCTGAAAGCACATGAGTTGTAGATATGATTTTATAGATCATTATGGCTGATCGTACATTGTGACGTCATATTACCATCTGAATTAAGAAAAAACTTAATTTTTTATTTAGGATGTCATTATTTGTATACTCATTTGAACGTATCTCGCTTATTCTTGATTGATCGTCTCTTACCTGTGAGTATGTTATACAGTAGCTGAGACAATTCTCTTTCGGAAGTGTCTCTTTATTTTGCATTTTGATGACGTCATCATGGTCAAAAAGAATGAATTTTTGGAGCCCTCTCATCTCTCTTTCTTCAAATCAAATTCATTGATATTATCAGCATACTGTATGTAAAAAAATGTAATAAACAGATATTGTTTTAAAATGTAATACAGTTTCAACTGTATCAGTTTATATGTATTTTAGTGCACAATCTGCATTGCTTCCCAAATCTAATATCAAGAATTGTTTGCAATCATAACATCAGCCAATTCAATCTTAACAAACACTGGCTATGATATAAACAATACTAAATATGATATGGTTACAAGTTAGCTGGAGCAATGACAATCTGTGCATTCATAATAAATGTTTTCACAGCTTTTTCAAGTCAGACTCTGTTTGTCAGACACATTTCTAATGTAAACAACTTTGCAGTATATTGTTTCATCGTACTATTTTATCCATTGGTCGAGCACGCAAGATTTCTTGACATTTGATACAAACTCTCCAATTGAATCTCAACTTCAAAATTTTCACCTGTAGGCAAAAGCACAAAATTTTTTTCAGTTGTTAAGTAGTTTGCAGAAAATTCAGAGAATTTCATGACAGTAACGGATTCCACGACTAATTTTTGAACATAATCTACATTACATTACAAGTCTTTTTCCCTGAGGGTGTGAATACGAATCGTGTTCATTTATTACAAATTCTTCATTTTAATTCAATCATCGTGTTGTTTTCATCTAATTTTCTTCTTCATCTAATATTTCGAGCCTGTATTAACCCAAAAAAGCCTAAATTTGATTTTTAATATAAAAATTATTTCATTAATATTTTATTAATATTAAATTCCTTTATAAATAAATATTCATGAAATCCATATTTTATCCATGTTTGTAATTCTTATTATTGCTGAATTTTATTGAGTTTTTATCTTATTAAAAGTATCAGTTTTTATTAAATTGCAGTTTGTTTACTGGCATGTCTTTTTATGCATTTTAGTTTTATACAGTTGGCCATATAGGCCTAAAGTGTATGGTGAAGGGCAGATCCAGGACTTTTCATTAAGGGTTACTACCAAAAATTTCAGATGGCTTGGTGTGTATGGTCTCCTCATGACGCCAGTGTAGTTGATAACAGACAGGTTGATAAGCTAAGAAATTTCAGCGGTCTTGAAAATTGAATTTAAACTTAGTTGCTTCTTGCGCTGAAGACCCTGGTTCAAACCCGGCCAGTGTCAGGTTTTAATTAGAGCTTTGTGCTGGTTTGCCGTTGTATGTTATCCAGTGACCACGGATAATAACGCTCGCGCATTTGATCATTCAATTTGGAATTGGCGCCTTATAAATGTTTGGGTATTATTACAGTAAATACAATCTTCTCAATTTTAATCATTAACCATGGGGATTTCTTGCTTTGTTTAAAACAGCAGGAGTGTTAATTTTATGTTTGTTGTACATGCTGTTTATGATGTTGCCTATGTTTTACTGTCTTTGCTTTTGCTTTTTTTACTTCATTTTATTGTAAAAAAAAAATGTAGTTCATGAGGTGTATAATGTTGGCCAAGACACGGAAACGATGCTTGTTTGTTTAGTTTTGGTAACATATACAGTATAGTATCAATTCGTTGTAGACAACTTGCCTCCAGCATCCGAGGAATGATCTTTGGCATTTAATACCAAAGTTGAGGACTGCCCCAAAGTCCAGTAAGGTCACTGAATTGTTAGCTTTCCAGCCCACTCTAGTTTTAGCCATTGTTCAATGTTACAATTAAAATTAATAGATTTTTCCAAACAATACAATACACTTTAAGAACCCTTGAAGAACACCGTGAATGAAAGCAACTGGTAGCGCACTTTCATTTCAGAGTATCTTCTTGTTTATTGCAAAATTAATCGTGATTGGTCAATAACTTCACCTCAGGACAAAATCATTCTAGCATTACTGCCGTTACCTAATCTTGGGCCTGCAGGTGGCGTTAATAATGCCACTGACCATGGCAAATTTATTCACACAAATCGAATGCGTTGGTTTGCTTCTTGAGCTCTGATTTGTTGTGCATTTTTTCACTTCGCAAAAAGTAGAAACATTTCGGACTACTCAATTTCGCTAAAGCGAAAAACTGCGAAGAAATGTGAATGCGCATGAACCAACTTTTTGGATTCGCGGGAATAAATTTGCCTGGTGGAAAACAGGCTTTGTTTACTCTATTCTGTCTTGTGCATACAATAGAAAGCTTAATAAAACTAGATTTGAACTCGTCACTGAGGACGAGTTTGGTGATCCGCCGCACTTCGACTTGAAATGTTTTTAAATGCTCAAAATGGCCTAAAATATGTTCTAGTTAGTTTTTAAAAAAGTGTAATATTAAACATTTGAAAAG